GCGGGAAACGGGATTTGATTGCTACCCAGGAAGCGGGATTCACCAAAATTTAGGGCGCGGGATGTGGGATTTTTTTATCTCCCTGTCGGGGACGGGAAATCATGACGACTCAATACGCGTTCCCCGCGGCAAATGCGATTTAACAAGGCGAGCGTTCAGTTGTGTCTCCTATCAACTGAGCAAAATATACATAGTGATCTGGTTAATGACTGTCTAACTGAAATGTTCAAGTAGCCGAACAGACGAGCTAAGCGGACACAAGAACACCACAAAACCATTTAAAGGTCAAATGAACCAAAAAATTGACATATTTTCTTTTGTCGCTTTACCTTCACCAAACACTAAAAAGAACCACCCTAAGTGGGATTTGGGCAAAGATTTTTCTTCTCAAGCCTTTATAGAAAGATAAAAGATCAAAATCCGAGCATTTCCGAAAACTTCACGAAAACGTTTCTGAAATGGCCGCGTGATAGACTGGAGACTACGTGACGTCAATGTTGGTCTGTCAGGGCGGAAAAACGTTCTGCGCAAGCTTCTGCGTATCCCTTATCGCCTGCGTTTAGCCTACGTTTGTTTGTCTCGTTCTGTGGTTCTGACTGAGACTGAATGAAATACACGAGGAGCGAACGTTTGCTCCTTCTGAAGGCTTTCTTTTTGTTGTTGTTGTTGTTTTTTCGTCACTTGAAAATTACTTTGGATTCAGAACAACCAATGTTAGAGTAAAAACAGATCATCCGTCTGTCTGAGGAGGAATAAAACGTTTTGAACATTTCCAAAGAGGTTTGTATTTTTCTGATAATGGTGCATTTGATTTGTGAATTGATTTTGTGTCCAGTGCTTCGCCTTCTTTCGCCGGACTGAATTAAAACCCGCTTGTATTCTGTTATTAGTAGTTACGGTTAGTTTTTTTAAATGCCCATATTTATTTACCTTTGCAGAACAAGCTTTATCCTTGTCTTATGTCAAAGAACCGTAATGCTAACGCTTGCGAGTGAACAAATTTGAGCGCTTAAAACTTCCTCGGAACTTTAGAAGGCAAGCAAGCTTACTCGAGAAGAAAAGACTACTTCGATCATTTTTCTGTTGCTCAAGTAATAATAGTCAGAGTTTTTTTCCTTTAGTTTTTTCAGTTTTAATCACATAGTTTTGTTATCTTTCTGTACGCAAATTTTCCTTTCTCTCGCTGTGAAGTAGCGGAGAACGACAACTGCCTGTAGTGACTCCAAAACAATCTACTCTTTGCCCGTAAACAATTGCTGGAGCTGGATTTGACTGAAGCGAGAAAAACAAATCCTTATGTGCAGTTTTCTGTATTTTCTAATGATTCAGTTTGCTGAGTTTAATTTGCTTGAATGAAGACCCTCGCATGGACCAGTTATTACTAAAAAAAAAGTAGCTAATCTAGCTAAGTAGTCGGAATCATGGCTTGGCTGCGACGCCTGCAACTGATCTTTGTAAGTTGTTTCCGTACAGAAAATTCACTTCTTCTTTGTCATCAGGTATAAGAGCCTTAAGCCTTATGCTTTTTTAATGAAAATTTGTTTTGCAACCTTATTGAAACTTTTTATAGTTCACTTAAGCTGAATTTTATGCATGACGGAATTGTTCTTTGCTTGTCGCATCTCTTTGCCAGCCTAAAGTGGCGTCTATGGTCCTTAAAGTGACCTCAATCGGTAATTAAATCTTATACATAATTGAAAAGAAGTTTTTGCAATAATGTAACATTAACTTTGTTTGAAGGAAATCTTACTTACGCGTAGGTTTTTAACAGGTGTTATGCATGTTCAACTTGACAACACAAAGCAAAATTACTCTGCGCGAAACGATCAAGTTTAAAAAACTATGGTTGCTTTGAAAACGATCTTGGGGAAGATTTACTAGATAAAGATTAACTCTTTTTCTGCCCACATATCAACGCCAAAACTTCTACATTGAGGATTTGTTTATATTTTAGTGATCTGCGAAGCTAGAAGTGTCCGATCGAGCGTGGGTTTTAAAATATCAGCTCGAGTGCGACAAAGTTCAGTGACTTCAAAGACATTGTGGGCAAACTTGAATTTCTTTGGGAAGATTATTATACAAAGGTATTTTGTTTTTGTGTCCAGGGTGGAGCTCCGGACCTTATATATCCAGGAACTTCCTTATATGAACACATTTTGTGAATGCATCTTGAAAAAAATCGGACTTACGCACGCACATTTCCAGCACAACTCAAGGAAATTAGTAAATGTCGTTAAAGTCCGTTTTACTATGATGTATTCTTCGAGAAAATTAAATAATAAGAAGGTTATAACCACAGCTTGCAACTTTTGAAGACAAATTGCCTGTTCTTTCCACCGCACAATCCACTTCTGCGCCACGTCGACTCGAAAAACTCTGAAATGAATTTTCCGCTTTTTTTCACCTAACCAACATTGACGTCACAAGCTGTTTTTCCGACAATTTTTCCGACCGCTCTACGAAGATAAGGACCAAAAAACAGCAATTTTTAGTTGCAAATATCTCGGAGATACTTGCTTCAATTGAGCTGAAACTCCATAGTATGTTTATTTGGTTCATATTAAACACATTTCACTAGAATTGAACTAAAATAAAAAATGTCGAATTTTTGGTTCATTTGACCTTTAAACATAGCATTGATCAACGTATTCTCGTATTTAAATCATGGTAGATATAGGCATACTTTTATCTCCTAAAATTTTTTCCACTGTTCGGATTTCCTAGCTCAAAGTTTAGTGATCCGAAAATTATGGGGACCCAGCCTAGTCCCTAGGCGTTCTCGGCTCGGTCAATCCTGGACTCTACCGTGAGCTGTGACGTCACCGAGAGATACTCGCGCGGAAAACGGGGCAAGACAGAACACCTAGGGACTAGGCTGATGGGGACCAAAACTTACCTTTTCGAGAATTTCAGCCAGAAAAAAGGCTCCCGAAAATTCTAGGTGACCATTTTGGGGTAAAAATCCGTTAAAAATGGGCAATTATACCATTTTTTATATGTTCGAAAATCCTAGGAGAGGCAGGCAAGCAAGAAATTTTGCAACAAATGTTTCCAAAAATGCTAGATCTCAAATCGTCTTCAGAACAGATATTTTCCGAAAATTGACTTTGGGTGCTCCTGTTTTTATTAGGGAGCTTAAGCAAAGGCGTTTTTGAGCGATGCAAGTCAACCGGAAAAGAGAACTTTTCCCTTGATTGCCTGTTGACCATACCAATTTTGAACTACTTAATGTCTTTACTCTTTTAGAGGCGATTTGCTCGAAAAATGATGAGCAAAACCACAGCCCAAACATGCAAAAAGTCCACTTACGGTTGACTTGCGTCGCTCTAAAACATCTTTACTTCAGATTTTCTCTATTTTCAAACGCCACGGGCGCTCGACGAGCTCTGTGGGGAAAAGAATATCTGTAGAGTGGCTATATATCACAGCACAGAGTTCAAGCAAAAGCAAATAAAATGATGATCTATCATTGGTGTTTTACAGTATATGGCCATTATTTTAAATTACCGTTTTTTCCTCGAATAATAGCCGGGGGCAATTATTTCTTTTTTCGCATTAAAAGGGGGCGAGATTATTCGTCGGGGGAAGGCGATTATTCGAGGGAGGCGATTATTTCAAATGTTGCTCACGGGAAGTCGTGCCCTAAATATTTTGTTTTATTTTCCCTTTAAATAAAAAAATAATCACGTCAAAAAAAACTGAGCATGGGCTTTTTTAATGTTCCAAATTAAGTTCCTTGATTAATTTTCAGAGCTGGAATCGTCACTAATCAGTTTTGCTGAATCTCATTGCACTTTAACCTGACAGGGAGAGGATAAAAGGAAGAGAAGATGGCAAGGGGGGCGGGAGAGGGGCGATTATTCGAGGGAGGCGATTATTTTAAGTATTTCCGTCAAAGGGGGGCGATTATTCGAGGGAGGCCATTAATTGAGCGACGGCTATTATTCGAGGAAATACGGTAGCTGTATAACTAATGCACTCAATGACTAGCTAAGAATTTCCCGATCAGGAGCGAGCGGATCCACACCGGCTTCTACCGTTTTATGAAAATCGGTCAGATTTTTCATAAACAAATATTCTTTTAATAAAAAAAACTTTCCAAGTTGAAATCTGGCCAATATCCCGTCTGAATGACTCAGAAACCCAGGAAAGAGGACTTCAAAAGGTTAAAATCCCCCCAAAATTCGCGTTTCCATTTGGTGCACGTTCTCAGGGGCACCCAACGGGAAATTTTGAGAAAAAGACCTAAAAACAACAACAAAGCGTGAATAAAGATTTCTGAGACTATTTTAAGCATTTTGGGAGATTGCTGGAAAAAAATTATCTGTTCCTCACTCCCAGCAAGACTGATGGAAGAGTTCCCAGCTAGCAACCTTACAACCTGCAACATGACTTACTGGGAAGTTTCATAGGGCACAATTCAGATCTTGAGTGGTAAGCAACCCATACAAGTAACCCGTAGCAGCTATTCTAGACTTCAAATCCCCTCTGACACCCTGAAATATCTTTTTCCCAGCAACACTTTCCTTCCAAGGACTATTATTTCTTCCACATCTCCCAGCCAGCAAAAATTTGCATGAAGAACAGATATTTTGAGGAACAGATCCATTGGGTGCCCCTGCGTTCTGGATCCACCTGGAAGCTAGGAAATCGGTCAGTATTTATAGACCCGAGTTTGCACGTGTACAGTTCATGATCCGAATCAGTGATGTAAATTAAAATATTATCTGAGAAGTTTAATAAAATATTTTAATAATCCATGCTTTAAAGACAAGCCGATTAGAGGTAAAGGATATTTTTTATTTTTGGAAATACGTCAGAACATCAAAACACTTCAAGCTACTTCATTTAATTGGCTAATAAAATAAAGGTTAGTCTGGGTCAATAGTTTAGAAAGAAAAGGCTTTCATTATTCTTAGTTTCGCATAGCCGCCTCCTCGATTATCGACAACCACACCTACTGTATTTCAAAACTTTCATGTTTGTTCTCGGCCTTTTCCATGGATATTAAGACCTTGCTGAACAATCTTCATGATGAAGTATCCTGTTCTGTGTGTATGTGTACATTCACTGATCCAAAGCAGTTGCCTTGTTTGCACAGTTTCTGTCTTCACTGCCTGAACGGAATTCAACGAACGAGCGGCTTCCATGGCAAAATTACATGCCCCGAGTGCAGAAGACAGTTTCAAATCCCTGGAAGTGGAAATCCCAGCGAACTTCCCACCAATTTTCGTATCAACAGTTTGCTAGATGTCTTGGCAATAAAAGAATGCAGTACAGCTAACGTGAAATGTGGAAACTGCGACAAGCGGAGCGCCCAGACCTTATATTGCTTCCAGTGTTGTTCTTTCTGGTGCGAAGAATGTATGTTAGGACATAACATAATACGCACCAATAAAGAACACAGAACGCTGGCACTGAAGGATTTTCAAGATCATGACATCGAGGCCGTGTTAAAGAGACCGGCATTTTGTCAAGAAAATCGACATGAAAAAGAAGAGTTGAAGCTCTTTTGCAAGGACTGTGAAGTCGCAATTTGTAACATTTGTGCTGTAACACTCCATGATGGTCACGGAAAGATGCTTTTGGAAGAAGCTACAGACGCGCGCAAGACTCAGATCAACTCCATGACTCAAACTTTAATAGAAAAAGCACAAGAAAAACGAAAAGAACTCGAGCAATTGAACCAAAAGAGCGCGGACATTAAACTGCAAGTTGCCGACTTTAAAAGCCAAGTGCAGACGAATGTGGATCAAGTTACTGCAATCATCGAAGCGAGGAAACAGGATGTTTTTGATGCAGTCGATAATGAAGCGAAAAAATCACTGGAATCTTTCTCACAGAAAAAAGACGAAGTTGAAAATCAACTGAAATTAATTGAATCGGCTATTGAACAAACTAAAGCTCTTGTAAAACAAAGCTTTAGTACTGAAATCCTTGGATTCAGTGAAACATTTGATGCAATCCTTCAGGAACAGGGCACCCAAGGAAACCGTGACACTGAATGTATTCCTCGGTTTAGTTTCACTAAAAGTGAAAAACTGATTAACGTGTTGAACAATGAAGGGATAGGTAATGTAAAAATTGTTTTAAGCGAAACTAAAGTGCAAAACTCAGGAGCTAAAGGTAAAGAAAGTAGTAAAGCAATTGCTGGGAATAAAGGGGCAAATGTTTGTGACAGTCCTTTTAAGGCTCAGGTACAAACCAGGCGCTTCAGATCTGTGCTGTCATTTGGACAAAAAGGTGAGTCTGTTGGAATGCTTAACGTTCCCTATGGGGTGGCAGTGAATGATAAGGATGAAATTGCTGTGACTGAGTACTCGAACCACAGGGTTTCAGTGTTTAGTAGTGACGGTACCCACTTAAGATCGTTTGGTAGGAGGGGTCACAATAATGGTGAGTTTGATCTCCCTAGAGGGATCGCTTTTGATAGTCATGGCAATATTGCCGGCGCAGACTGTTTTAACCACAGGGTGCAAGTCTTTGATAGGAATGGTAACTTTCTTAGTAAGTTTGGTGAAAAAGGAAGTCGTGATAATCAGCTTGAATTCCCTCGAGGTTTATCAATAAACGGCAACGGTGATATTATTGTTGCTGATGCCGGTAACAAATTAATCAAGATATTCTCCTCAAGTTGCAACTATTTGCGTAAGTTTGGTGGAGCAGGTTCATTGGTCACTCCCATTCACTGTATCCAACATGGTCAATATTTTATAGTCTCAGATTACGGTGATCATTCCATTAAAATGTTTGATCTTGAGGGAAAATTTATTTCTAAATTTGGAAAACAGGGTAACAAAGATGGAGAGTTCAATGAGCCCCGTTTCTTGTCAGTTAACAAAGAAGGATTGCTAATGGTCTGTGATTTAAAAAATCACAGAGTTCAAGTATTTGAACTGAGTGGAAAGTTTGTTACAAAATTTGGAAGTGAAGGTAGCGGGAGAGGAGAGTTGAAGAATCCAATTTCTACAGCAATTCTTAGTGATGGAAGAATAGTTGTGTGTGAATTGAATAACCATCGAATCCAGGTATTTGAGCAAACATGAAATAATCTATAACCTGCGAATAAAACCGTCTTTCCTCGCTCCTCGTCGTTAGGGACCTTTCGCGGAAAACATCTCTGTCGCAAAACTTCGTAATAGCAGCGATGAGCGAGGAGAGTCATGATCAGCTGTATTCGCAGCGGGCTACAAATAATCGTACCTTTGAGATTCAGTTCACTATTATATATTCCGATCATTAATCAGCACCGTTCATGTTTCGGGAGGAAATCCATTTTGTGCGATTATTTTGTTTAGACATTTTGATATGTTGAAATTGGTGTTTTATGTTCTACTTGCAAATACATTTTGCCCCATAAATGATATGGATTTCCACTGTCGGGTAAAAGTTGAGTTTTCGCCGGCGCGACCATCCTTACATTGCCTCTATAATATTTACGCCGTAAATGTAATACTTGGAAAAAAAACTGCAATAGATTGACTAGTTCTACAGTTTATTATTATGAAAAAAAAAATTCTGTTACATTTTAAGCTCACATTATTACTAATTTGTAATTATTTATCTTTAAACTCTGTTCAAGATTTAGATACATTTTTGAAAGTGTGTTTTTTGAATGGGTTGTTATCTGTTCAATAAGCGAGGACAGCCTGATTGGTTCACAATTTTTTAACTACAAGGCTTATTTTTACTTAGGTTTTACCTGTAGTAACAGACGTACATATTTCTCAAAAAACAAAATGCTATTCCCTTTGTTAATAACTCAAGTGGATTATGTTTTGTCTAAATAAACAATAGTGTTAGTAAATGCTTTGTTCCTTGTATTCAATGTCTCCTATAATCAAGGGCGGATTTAGGGGTGGCCGAGGGGGCCGCGGTCACCACTTTTTCTTTGAAATATAGAATTGTTTTTTTATAGAATTCTCAGCAAAATAAATAAAGGCATTTGTCCCGGCCACCCCTTTCTGAATTTTCTGGACCCGTCCCTGCTAATGTGTGCCATAACGTGCGACGGAAAGTCGACAACGCCACTTAACAGTCTTGCTTCTTGAGTTTCGCGTTTAAGAGAAATACTACAGAAAAAAAACTTAGCAGTGACGATGGATATTGGTGAAGGCCGCCTGTCCTCACATTTTGTCTCATGAATGTGCCATCCTTGCTCTCCTAGATACCTTTTCAAAGGGGTTTACAGGAAAAGCCCTTTGAGGCTTTTCGTCGAGTTGAGATATATATTGCGGCCGATTTAAGACGACCTCACCAAACTCCAGATACGTATAATTATTCAAACTTCTTTAGGGCGGCTTGTGCGCTTTGACATTTTCACTTTGTAACCTGCAATAATCCCGGACAAAAGAAGTTGGGAAGGTTTTGGATATAACAAAACAATTACGCGCACAAACACTTTAGTTTTGTATAGCATTGGGAATAGACTGCAAAAAGTCGGATTTGTTTTTCTCAAAATCGATTTAGCGTAGTTTTAGCTTTTCTCCCCAGTCTCGCCCTCCGTGTTCAGCCTGGCTCTAGACCTTTTTTTCGACTGTCGCGCGGCGTACTTGAATACGCAAAAATAACGTGACTGTTTTGCAGTCTACATTGGGGAAGGGGCAGAGGAAATAAGGGGAAAAGAGTTAAAAAATAGTATCCTCCCTACACAATTTTGATGATTGTCCCACTCAGGGTTTTAGTTGCACCCAACATTCCTTTTTAAGCTCGCTATCAAATAAATGCCGTTTACATGCCTTGAAACTGAAGTGGGAAGGTGTTCTTTGTTTATGACGATCGAAAATTTGTAAGACAAGCGATGAAGCAAATGAACCAATTAGAGCCAGGGAATTAACCGAAACTATTTCATGATTGCAGGTTTTATTGCAATAATCTGTTCTAATTGAAGCTCCTATTTCTGACTTTGTTTTGACTCCTGTTTTCACTCGTGCCCAGTCGTCTTTGCATAACACGCGGCGGGAGCAGGGGGTGATCACACCCCTTAGGCCACTAAGGAGAGACAGAGAGACAGAGACGACCGGGGACGGGGCAGCATCCGCTTAATTTTTAAACAACAACAACAACAACAGCGACAACAGTTTATCCAATTTGAAAATAATTTATGACCGTGTTACCCACAATTAGCGAAGCTATTCCAGGTGGGTACCACTGATAAAACAATAGTCTCCTTGAGTAAATACAAAGTTCTAATTCAATTCAATTCAATTTAATTATTCACACTTTATGGTCCTGCTGTATGCAGTTCGCTGCATTGTGGGACTCGTTACCTTATAGCAGTCCTAGCACACCCGATGGCTCAGGTGCCCCGTTGGGCGGAGAGCGTTTCCGGGGGGCCAGGTTCGATTCCTGGGCGATTTTGGCGTACTGGTGTACCCTCCTTCAGACGTTCCTCGGCATAGCCATTGTACTCTGGCTTTGTTAAGTATCGGTGATGTCGCTCGGCCATTGCACTTCTTGACCATTGCACTACCGGCTCCTGGCCGTGCGCGCCTGAAAAAAACAAAGCAAAACAAAAAAAAGCTTTATAAAATATTAACATTGTGTATAGTAAGGTAAGAATACACTAATAAAGTAGAAGAAGAAGGAAAAAAGAAAGAAAATTAATGGCTTGGGTAGAAGTGTACGGTGGTCAGAGGAGCTTAGCTTTTGAGCTAAACGCCGCTATATTATGATTGGAAATACAAAAAAAAAAAAGAAAGTGCGTAAAGCAAATTGTAGCGGCGTTGAGGGTCCTTCCTGTTCAAAGTTGACCGACCAGGCCTTTCTCTTCCTCTAAAAGAGTTTCTTCTTGATCTCACCGGACACGTGTACACCACTTCACAGCGGTCAAACGAGTGAAATTTGCAAAAGTTAAGCGAAATACTTCAAAGTTAAGGTTGCTACTTTCACTATCGAAAGTTTAGGGTATTACCAACATCCTGTTAGTTTACTAAACTTTTTAAAAGTTTACTAAAAAAGTTCTAAGTGATTGAAAACCGATGCTGACGTTATTATCGGCGCCATTTTCAAACATGATTCTCTTTTAGCGCGAAGCGTTTTCAGCGAAAAAAGCTCAAAATTTTGAGAAAAATGGAAAGATAGTTATGTTGACTAACTGATTTATACATCTTTGCCCATTTTTCTCTAACTGGTAAATGAAATCCCAGCAAAAAAAAAAACAAAAATAACGATTTAGACGTTTGACCGCGGTGTGGTACACCACTGACATCTTAACACTAAAACGCCCCTAGCTGACAGGAGCGAGGAGAGAAGGCTGTGTTCGCGAGTTAGAGAAACCAGACGAAGTGCTATAAGTCTAGTGGCAGATCATAGGACAAAAAATAGTCTTCGTTTCCTTGGTCAGTACAGTGTCAGTCGGCGCGAAATCACACCCAGTCTATCTGGCGATAATCCATTCAATAATCATACATGCACAAAGTTGACTACGCACGGCAAGAACTTGTTTGACAGCTCAAAACGATATGTCGCTACAAAGACGGCCTCATTCCAACTGCAGAAATGGAACACTTCGTAGTTAGTTTGAATCATTCAGACTGTGGCTGTTTAAAAACTGAATCTACTGAATTGAAAAACAAAAGCAAGGTTTAGTCGATGTAGTCGATGTAACTCTTTGTACGGTTCGTGCGAATTAAAAGTTCTGATAACGTATTCAAAATATATCATCAACATCTTTTGAATATACACCGAGGGTTTTATGTCGAGGGTGAGCCCGTTTAATTAGGTGATTAAGGACGTCAATTTTACTGAGCCATTACTATTTTTAGGTTCTCCGCCTAGGTATGTTTATGAATCTGCTATACTCGCTTATTTGCTTCAAGCTTTATTTTTTTACAGCGTGTTTTCAGCTTATTAGCTTCACTACTTAATAATTAAAGGCTTTTTTTAACTATGTAAGTGAATTTGAGGCGAGCCAACAAACACCAACTAAAGCAAAAGAAGCTCTCCCCCTCCCCTCCCTTCTTCTCACGTCTTATAAAGGTTACTCTCTCTTTGCCCCTACCCACCCCTCCTCTCTGTTCCTAGGCCACCTACCCATCTCTTGACATTTTACGCAAAGTAAAAGCCTGTAAATACAGTCGTCTATCCTCGCTCCACTCTGGTCTTGGACGTTAACCTAGCGGCGCAGAGCGAGGAAACTGAGAGAGCAGCATTCGCAGGCTAGAAAAGTGGCAGGTAAACAGTAAATACTTAAGTAATATGCCGGTTTTGATAATAATCATAAGAGGTTTTAACATTAACACTTACATCCTGGTACAAGTCGCTTTAATTTACTGTTGTGATCGCTGCTGACTGAGACACAAAACCTCAATTGACAACTGTCAACCTCATACTCAGAGCTATTGGTCATTTTACACCCTAAAAACATGGTCTGGATAGGGTATTTTCGGGATCCTGGATTTGACCAAAATACGGTGCGGGATTTAGGAAAAACACAAAATATCTTGGCGGGAAACGGGATTTTATTGCTACCCGGGAAGCGGGATTCACAAAAATTTAGGACGTGGGATGTGGGATTTTTTCCCCTCTCTGTCGGGAACGGGAAATTATGATGACTCAATATGCGTTCTTGCGGCAAATGCGATTTAACAAGGCGAGCGTTCAGTTGTGCTCCTATCAACTGAGTAAAATATATAAAGTGATCTGGTTAATGATTGTCTAACTGAAATGTTCAGATAGTGAACAGACGAGCTGAGCGGGCAGAAGAACCACTATTTCAACCAGATGCCAAGAAAGTGCGCGTGGTGCAATAGCAGTAGTCTAGTTAATGAAATTTTCCTTCTGTTCTAAAAAAACGCCTGATCGCAGGTTACCTTAAGTACATTCATAGTTTTGGTGTCGTTCTTTTTTACAGCCACAGCCGAGTCTGCTAGCGCCAGAAAAGCCTATTCCAGAGGTCCTCCAGTCTATTTTGTGCCACCTTGGAACAGGCTAGCGCCAGAAGTAACGCAGCGAACCAAAAAACTACATTTTTTTAATCCCGCTACACAACGAACACAAAGAGCTGTAGAGATTCCAGAAGCAGTTTAAAAAACGTCAGGGAGTTAAGGTGATGTTACACGATGATGATCAGCGCAACGAGGATTTTTAGCGAAATGCAGCATTACAACATTGCTGCGACATTGTTTCGAATGGTTGCAACATTGTTTCAACATTCCAATGCTGTGTTACGTGTTGCGCGAAAAATTGTCCTTACGAATCGACTCGTGTAGCATTACCCTTACAAAGAGCAAAGGCCTAAGAGACTTTTCTCAATGAGAACGCCAGTTGTGTCAATATGAGTTTGACACACCTATCCAGATATGAGTTTGACACACTTATCCACTAGGTCGTCCAGGGAAGCCGTTTAATTTATGCTAACAATTCGCAGGTATTCGATAGTAACTACGAGTCAGCAAAGAAGGATCACTAATGGTCTGTGATGAAAGAAATCACAGGGTTCAGGTATTTGAACTGAGTGGTAAGTTTGTTACAAAGTCTGGAAGTAAAGGCGTAGCTAGAGTGGAGAGTTTAGGAATCCAGCGTCCACAGCAAATATAGTTGTTTCATGTGATATGAATAACAGCCGAATCCAGCTGTTTGATGATCTGGATTATGAATGATACGATTTTAACTTTGTGCAATTAACTTGAGAATCTGATGAGATCTAGGATTTATTTTTGTTAAAGTAAACAATTTTGGGAGATAATTTTGCTAATAAATCTTACCATGATATCGAAATTGGTATTCTGTGTTTTCACTCACGTGGCCAGCATCTATGCAAATTTATTGGAACAAAAGAAAACGTTTACATAAGAAAAGAGTTCAACTCCCACAGGACTGGTTTGGGACACAAACATGGCCGCCGTTTCATTGTTTTGGGACACAAATATGGCCGCCATGACGTCACATGAAAACAAACAATAGTACTGGCATGTGGGATGTAAGGGCTGGAAGGAAGGGCCAATGAAACACTTCCCCTCTCCTTCTCTTCTACTCCGATCCATTTTCAGGCTATTTTATCGCCCTAGCCACCCTACCCTTCCAAAAAAAGAACCTTGTTCATAGGCTGCCTACCCATCTCATGACATTCAGGAAAAGCGAGTAAACAGTAACCTCTTGCATCATGGATGAGGATAGAGATCGCACGAGGATTTTAGGTTATCACGTACATCCTGGTAAAAGTTACTGACTGCTCAGTTAAAGTTGTTGTCCTAGTGTAATTTAAACCCAGTCCCAACTGTTCGTGGTAACGCCCTACAAAGGCGTCAAACACTTTTTAAAAAGAAGTGAACAGTCACTCGCGACATGGTTTGAAAAATTGCCACTTTAATTTCTGACACGTGATTCTTCTTCTCTCTTTGTTCATCTACGTGATAAAGATGTGATAAACCGTCGTTCATAAAAAGCCATTCATATAATTAAACGCGCCTTAAAAGCCTGAAACAAAACCAAGAAACAAATAATCACACAAAAAAAAAACGCTGAGAAATTTAATGTACATTTCGCTCTTTTAATAGGAAAAATCAAATAAATCAGTCGATTCTCATGCGACATCTTCCAATTGGTGCTAAATGCATATGAATGATAACTTAGTCAGTTTGAGTAGGCTAACTTAATTTGCCTATTCTGGATCTCGATCTTATAGTAAGCTTGGGCTACCTGTGGCTTTATGAATATTTTAAAAAGTTTATGCTTTGTAAACAGATTATCAGTTCTCAGAAATAATGATTATTTTTGGATTCTTCATGTCGTCAAATCTCAAAACACGTCAAGACACTATTTAATTAATGGCCAAAATAAAGTTTAGTCTGGGCCAAAAGACAAGACCTCTTTGTTGCGGTTTCTGAGAACGCCAACCGAACACACCTCTGAGTATTTCGAAACTTAATTTGTGTCCCACTTTTTCCATGGATTTAAAGACCTTGCTGGACAACCTTCATGATGAAGTATCCTGTTCTGTGTGCATGTTCCCATTCTGGAGTATGTAATTTGAACACAGTATCAGGGATGACTTGGCCGAAGGTTGATTAACGTATTTCGACCTCGAGACACAGGGATTAACTACCACACATGCACAATCTTGGACAAAAGAGACGAAAACATTAATGCGTCCTCTCTACTGTAAAATAAAGAATGGGGAATGGGGATATAATGGCGCGTTTTGCCTTTCGCGTGGCTTTTTTGCTCTGATCTTTGAGCCAACGGGGACTTGATTTCTCAGTTTAATCTGTCCAAGGATTGAACACGTGTCAGTAACGTGTTGAGGGTACACAAATGTTCAAACAATTTCAGTAGTCTATGCTTTAGCCTGCCTAGCAAACGTTTGCAAATGAATTAATGAGAGAGAGAGCTCCTTCATTCCTCTTTTCTGCTCTCGCTCAGACTTTCTTGACCACCTCGCGCAGAAACCATTGCCGCAGGCAGGTCACTTATTCCTGCTTCAAAGAACTGATTTTATTCTTCCGTCAAACCATCAAAACATGTCAAGAAATTCTATTTGATTGGTTAGTAATACAGAGTTATTAGTCTGGGTCACAAGACAATACTTCATTGTTCATTCGCAAAGCCATTCCCCTGATCGTCAACAACTAGCCCGAAATTTTTGAAAAGTAACCTTGTTTCCGACCTTTTCCATGGATATAAAGACCTTGCTGGACAATCTTCATGATGAAGTATCCTGTTCTGTGTGCATGTGTGCATTCACTGATCCAAAGCAGTTGCCTCGTTTACACAGTTTCTGTCTTCATTGCCTAAACGGAATTCAACGTACGAGCGGCGTCTGTGGTAAAATTACATGCCCCGAGTGCAAAAGACAGTTTCAAATCCCTGGAAGTGGAGATCCAAGCGAACTTCCCACCAATTTTCGTATTAACAATTTGTTAGATGCCTTGGCAATAAAAGAGTGCAGTACGCAGCTAACGTGAAATGTGGAAACTGCGACAAGCGGAGCTAAGTAAACATGAACCACGTAATTTACGGTGCCGCAAAATTCCAAACTTCAAGAAAGAGAAATTAACCTACCTGTCAACAAACTTTAATTTCGCGTCTTCACCCGCAGTAAGAAGGCTGAAACTTCGTCATATGAAAGAATGCTAATCAGTAAATCACGATATCTTTCAGTATTAAACGTATTTTTTTTCTTGACGAAATATTTTATCATTTTCGGAAAGGACGCGGACCAAGGGCATCGGGGACTTCCGCGGACCAAGGACCACATACTATATATTGAATTGACTAGATCCAAACAAAGCAATTAATTGAGATAATTTTCTCTTACATTGTAATCTCCTATTATTACTAAATAAATTTGCAAATACTTCATATCTAGAAATATTATACTAATTAATATTTACATACTTTTTTGAAAGCGTGATTTTTGAATGGGTTTTAACCTGTTCAATAGCGAGGACAGCCTGAGTTGTCAATTTTGTAAGTAAACGGCTTATTTTTACCTACCTTTTTTCAGTAGTAACAGATGTACATATTTCTCAAAAAGCAAAGTACTATTCCCTGTAAATACCTCAAGTGGACTTATTTTTTGTCTTATATAGCCTGGTTTTCACTTGCGCATAAGCATAAGGCTTAGTATAAATTAAATACAAAGCTATACTAGAAATACGTGAATCGCAGGACCTCGCGAGGGACTTCCGGGGAACGGCAAGAAGTTGAAATGGAAATAAGTCAATAGTAAAGAAAATTTATAAATCTAAAAACTTTGGCTATATAAAAAAACAAAACAACTGCAATAACTAAAAAGAAAACTAAAGAAAAAGGAATAAAAGAAAAGAAGAAGAGAAAAAGAAAATGGGTACAGCCCGTAATCGAGGAGGCCAGTTCAAAGGGCCGGGCCATAGCTTTTCCTCTAGGCCACCTGGAACACACTGTGAAAAACCTATGAAAATATATGATAAAAACCTTTCCCCTAGAACTTCTGCCAGTGCGACCTGTTCAAAGTTGATCGAGCCCTATTATTTCAAAGACATTTTTCAGAAGAATGACTGTTGTTTTGACAGTGAAACCCCAACGTAAACGAATTTCATCGCATTTAAAGAGTGGCAGCCCAACTAAGCCGATACGGTATAAACTCGTGCGGCGAAGTGAAATCCTTGTATGTCCGTTCCGCCTCTTGCCTCTTTCGTTCCTCAGCTTCAGTTGTTCTAATGTCTTTTCTCATATTATTATTCTTTAAGGCGATTAATATTAAGTAATAACATGCTTCACATCAACATTGTATTTTGAACAGAAGCTCTTGATGGAATCTCCATCGTTTATGACACTGACAGAATAGTTCCTCATGCAAGTCCCTCAAACATTTTCTCGGGAGATAGTCATCCGGTGTCCTGCCTGTCGATTCCGTCTGAAAGACATCCATGAAATGTCCCCGATTGTTTGGGTCTGGTACAGGTTGCGGAATTCTTTCTGTCTCTGGTCCCATCCATCTATTGTTAGAACACCAAGAACAGAGATTGGAGGTCTCCTCTTTGCAGGCATGCACCACGACAGAATTTCATTAAGAGCTCTCCACGGATGAAGTGGTCTTCCATAAACGATTCGATCTTTCTGAGGTATGCTGCACCAGGGAATAAGAACAGTTCCTCAGGAAACTCACTCACTTTACTCTTAATGTAGTCTTTAAGAACAGGGGCGTCATCAATCCTCTCGGCAACCTGACTGCATACGTATACAAGGCATTTTTCTTCATCCGCTTCCTTTCGTATTCTTTTATTTCTTTTATTTTATTTTATTATTTTGCTACACACAATGAATTACAAGCAGAATAAAAACGATAATAAATAGGTTAATTAACATTAAATTTAAAATTTGTGCGTTACTTGGGAGGAGTGACTGTGGCGGGGAAATCTCCGAGAAGCCGAGCTTATGAGGAATAGAGATTTCCCCCCACGGGCAATTTAAATACTAGGCGGCATTTTAAGAAATAAAGAAAAAAGTCGTTTATTTAAGTATATAAGTGTGTTCAGAGGAAAATATAGATATGAGGTGTTAAGGTATTTAGGTTGCATTCTCTCTGATCCTTCAGTATGACTGAAGTGACATTCTCTTGATTTCCTCTTCTGAAAGATCTTCAAATCTCCTATACATTTCGCACTCTAGAAGTGCACCATCCACAAGAGCATCAGAAATAGCACCGTTTGTCCGTTCGGCTTCACCCTAATTGCCTGCTGTCGCCCCTCGAAAGATGGAGTCAGTGGAGAATGTTCAAGAGTCGGTAAAGGGAGGCGTCCAAGTGGCTGCCAAAGAAGCGCTGGGGACGAAGCAGTGACACTAAACTAATCACTTGTTGATAATACCATGTATATATTTCTTACTTCTGTTGTTTTTGTTTGTAATGACAGTGTACCACCAGGACGCCCTAAAAAGGCGTCGAACATTTTTTTAAAAAAAGTGAACAGTCACTCAAGAGATTGAAATATTGCCAATGAAACGACAGGACTCAGGATTCTTCCGTCTCTCTTCGTTCATCTAAGTAATAAACCGTTGTTTCTAAAAAAGCCATTTACATAAACGCACCTTAAAGGAGTGGCCAGCAAAACCAAGAAACAAATAAACACAAAAAAACCGCTGAAAATAAGCTTAAAAGAGAAATCTAATGTACATTTCACACTTTTAAAAGGCAAAGAATAAATTCTCATAAAACATCTTATAATTGTTGCTGAATGCATATGAATGATTTTAAAATTAGTTGGGTAGCCTGATTGGGTAGCCTGACTTGAAGCCCAGTAAAGTGGAGCGGCCCGCCTTACGGTGACCTCGGTACTACGGTCGCCTCGTTATTACGCCCACTTTTTTTGGGCACCCGACAAAACGGCCATACATTTCCGTGTAAAAAAAGACCTAGCTAACACGGTCACTCATGCATTAATACGGCCAAATGTTTTGGCCCATCGGTACATGGTGACCGCGACCGTATTATCGGGGTATCTGTGGTTTGATGAATATTTTAAAAAGTTCATGCTTTGTAAACAGATTATCATTTCTCAGAAATATAGGTTATTTTTGCATTCTCTCAGGTTGTCAGAACTTTAAACACCTCAAGACACCATTTGATTGGTTGCCAAAACATACTTTAGTCTGGGTCAAAAGACAACATTTCTTTGTTGCGGTTTCTGGGAGTGCCAACCAACTACGTCTCAGAGTATTTTAAAACTTAATTTGCTTTCCATCTTCTTCATGGATATAAAGACCTTGCTGGACAATCTTCATGATGAAGTATCCTGTTCTGTGTGTATGTGTACATTCACTGATCCAAAGCAGTTGCCTTGTTTGCACAGTTTCTGTCTTCACTGCCTGAACGGAATTCAACGAACGAGCGGCGTCCATGGCAGAATTACATGTCCGGAGTGCAGGGGACAGTTTCAAATCCCTGGAAGCGGAAATCCCAGCGAACTTCCCACTAATTTTCGAATAAACAGTTTGCTAGATGTCTTAGCAATAAAAGAGTGCAGCACAGCTAACGTGAAATGCGGAAATTGCAACAAACGGAGCGCCCAGACCTTATATTGCTTCCAGTGTTGTTCTTTCTGGTGCGAGGAATGTATTTTAGCACATAACATAATACGCACCAATAAAGAACACAGAACGCTGGCACTGAAGGATTTTCGAGATCATGACATTGAGGCCGTGTTAAAGAGACCGGCATTTTGTCAGAAGAAACGACATGAAAAAGAAGAGTTGAAATTCTTTTGTAAGGACTGTAAAGTCGCCATTTGCAACACTTGTGTTGTAACACTCCATGAAGGTCACGGAAAGATGCTTTTGGAAGAAGCTACAGACGCGCACAAGACTAAGATCAACTCCATGACTAAATCTTTAATAGAAAAAGCACAAGAAAAACGCAAAGACCTCGAGCAATTGAACCAAAAGAGCACGGACATTAAACTGCAAGCAGCCTACTTAAAAAGCCAAGTGCAGACACATGTAGATCAAGTTATTGCAATCATCGAAGCGAGGAAACAGGATGTTTTTGATGCAGTTGATAATCAAGCGAAAAAATCACTGGAATCTCTCTCAAAGAAAAAAGGACAAGTTGAAAATAAAGTGAAATTAATTGAATCGGCAATTGAACAAACTAAAGCTCTTCTCAAACGAAGCTTTAGTACTGAAATCCTTGGATTCAGTGAAACATTTGATACAATCCTGCAGGAACAGGGCACCCAAGGAAACCGTGACACTGAATGTATTCCTCGGTTTAGTTTCACTAAAAGTGAAAAACTGATGAACGTGTTGAACAATGAAGGGATAGGCAATGTAAAAACTGTTTTAAGCGAAACTAAATCCCAACAATTAGGAGCTAAAGGTAAAGAAAGTAGTAAAGTAATTGCTGGGAATAAAGGGGCAAATGTTCGTGACAGTCCTCTTGAGACTCAGGTACAAACCAGGTGCTTCAGACCTGTGCTGTCATTTGGACAAAAAGGTGAGTCTCTTGGAAGGCTTAACGATCCGTGGGGGGTGGCAGTGAATGATCATGATGAAATTGCTGTGACTGAGTTCGGTAATAACAGGGTTTCAATGTTTAGTAGTGACGGTACGCACTTAAAATCGTTTGGTAGGGAGGGTCAGAATAACGGTAAGTTCAGGAACCCTAAAGGGATCGCTTTTGATAGTCATGGCAATATTGTAGTGGTAGACTGTGATAACCACAGGGTTGAAGTCTTTGATAGGAATGGTAACTTTCTTAGTAAGTTTGGTGAACAAGGAAGTCTTGATCACCAGCTTAGTTATCCTGTGGGTTTATCAGTTAACGGCAACGGTGATATTATTGTTACTGATACAGGAAACAATTTAATCAAGATATTCTCTTCTAGTGGGGAGTTTTTACGTAAATTTGGTGGAGCAGGTTCTTTGGTCAGTCCCTTTCACTGCATCCAACACGGTCAATATTTTATAGTCTCAGATTACAGTGATCATTCCATTAAAATGTTTAATCTAGAGGGAAAATTTATTTCTAAATTTGGAAAAAAGGGGAACAAGGATGGAGAGTTCAATCACCCCCGTTTCTTATCAGTTAACAAAGAAGGATTGCTAATGGTCTGTGATGCAGTTAATCACAGAGTTCAAGTATTTGAACTGAGTGGAAAGTTTGTTATAAAGTTTGGAAGTCAAGGTAGCGAAAGAGGAGAGTTTGACTGGCCAATGTCTACAGCAAATCTTAGTGATGGAAGAATAGTTGTGTGTGATAAGTACAACAACCGAATCCAGGTATTTGAGCATAAATAAAATAAACTAGCCTGCGAATACAACCGTCTCTCCTCGCTCTTCGTCGTTAGGGAACTTTCGTGTGAAACATCTCTGCCGCGAAACTTTCTAATAGCGGCGAGGAGCGAGGAGAGTCGAGAGCTGTATTCACAGCAGGCTATAAAAATAATCCTACCTTTGATTCAAGACTTGAGATTCATCATTTCACTATTATATATCGATCATTAGATCCACAGTTCATATGTGAACAACCGTCTTTCCTCGCTCCTAGTCGATAGGGACCTTTCGCGGGAAACGTCTCTGCCGCGAAACTTGCTAACAGAAGCCAGCAGCGAGGAGAGACAGCTGTATTCGTAGCGGGCTGGAAATAATCCTACCTTTGATGAAGTAAGACTTGAGATTCAGTTCACTATCACATATTGATCATTAGATCTATAGTTCATGTTTCTGGAGGAAATCAATTTTATGCGATTATTTTGTTTAGACATTTTGATATGGCTAAATTGGTGTATGTTCTACTCGTAAGTATATTTTGCCTATAAATGATATCTCGCGTAAAAGTTGAGTTTAACGCGCGTAAATGCAATACTTGCAAAGAAAACCTGCAAGATATGGACTAGATCCACCGTTTATTTTTTGTGGGATAAAAGCAATTAATTGAGATAATTTCCTCTTACATTGTAAGCACATTATAATTACCAATTTGCAAATACTTATCTTCATATCTAGAAATATTTGATACTGTTTAATATTTACATACGTACGTATGGAAGTGTGATTTTTGAATGCGTTTTTAAATCCTGTTCAATAGCGAGGACAGCTTTGGTGTTTCCCAATTTTGTAGCTAAACGGCTTATTTTTACATAACTTTTTTCAGCTCTCTCCTCCTCAGAGGCTCCTGCTGGGTATCCCGATAAAATTGATAGCAAATAATCGATACTCTCTTCCTTTCTCCTTTGCGGAGCAGGGAGTATTTTTGCAGTAGTAAGAGACGTACATATTTATCAGAAAGCAAAATGCTATTTCCTGTCAATAACGCCAGCAGATTATTTTTGTGTAAATAAACAAATAGTGTAAATACTTTGTTCCTTGTACTCAATGTCTCCTGAGTCAAAGTCAAGCTAAGGGCGGATTTAGGAGGGGGGATGGGCCGAGGAGGTCGCGACAACCCCTTTTTCTTTGAAATTTTGTATTATTTTTATAGAATTCTCATACTAGATAGCTGGCATGTGTCCCGGCCACCCCATTCTGAAATTTCTGGATCCGCCCCGGCTAATGTGTGCAATAACTTGCGAAGGAAAGTCGACAACGCCACTAATAACAATCTTCCTTCTGGTGTCACACGCTTAAGAGAAAAACTAAAGAAAGATAGCAGTGGGGTTGGAAATTGGTGAAGGCCGCTTCTCCCCGCAAATTTGTGTCATGATTGCGCTACCCTTGCTCCCCTGGATACTTTTCCAAAGGGGGCGACAAGCAAACCCCCTGCCCACTCCTTTGAGGCAGTTTCGTCGAGTTGAAATTTATATTGTGGCCGATTTGTATAGGTAATAGCATGATTTGTAGTGATATTTGGAATAAATACCACGAGTGATATTTCAAAATTGTTATACGTAATTTCACGAGCCGTTAGGCGAGTGAAATTTGAGACAATTTTGAAATATCACGAGTGGTATTTATGCCAAATATCACGTACAAACCATGCTATTATTTGTTTATACTACTACCCACAAAAGGTTTGTAATTTTCACATGTAGGTATTTCAAATTAAGCTGAAATACCACTGCTCTAAGCCAATCAAATTTCAGAAATTTCTCATGTAGTGGTATAAAAGACGAAATACACAGCAAACTCCAGATACGCATAATTATTCCAAGTTCCTTAGTGCGGGTTGTGCGCTTTGACATTTTCACTTTGTAACCTGCAATAACCCGGACAAAAGAAGTTGGGAAGGTTTGGGATATAACAAAACAATTACGCGCACAAACACTTTAGTTTTGTACAGCATGGGGCATAGAATGCAAACAAGTCGGGTTGGTTTTTCCCAAAATCGGTTTAGCATAGTTTTAGCTCTTCTCCTCAGTCTCGCCCTCCGTGTTCAGCCTGGCGCTAGACTTTTTTTTGACTGCTCGAGCGGCCTTCTTGAATACGCAAAAATAACGTTACTGTTTTGCAGTCTACATTGGGGAGGGGGCAGAGGAAATAAGGGAAAAAGAGGTAAAAAATAGTATCCTCCGTACACACTTTGACGATTGCCCCAAGAGTTTGTTGCACCCAACATTCAATTTAAGTTCGCTATTAAATAAATGCAGTTTACATGCCTTGAAACTGAAGTGGGAAGGTATTCTTTATTTATTATGATCGAGAATTTGTAAGACAAGCGATGAAGCAAATGAACCAATTAGACTCAGGGAATCAACCTAAATCATGTTCTAATTTAAACTCCTGTTTTGTTGTAATTAAGAAGTTAAACTGATATATTACGTAAAAATTATAAGCGGCCAAAGCGTCTTCTATCGTATCCCTTCCCCTAGCTGTCTACAAGTTCGTGCATCGAGGTACGATCATTGGCCTTATTATCTTGTTTCCCATCCGCTTAATTTTTAACAACAACCACATCAACATCGACAACAGTTTATTCAATTTGAAAAGTATTTTATTTCCGTGTTACCATGCCACAATTAGCGAAGCTATTCCCGGTGGGTAACACTGATAAAACAATAGTCTCCTTGAATAAATACAAAGTTCTAAATAAAAAAAGAAAGTGCGTAAAGCAAATTATAGCGGCGTTGAGAGTCCCTCCTGTTCAATGTTGATCGACCAGAATCGGTACAACCAGTTTATCTGGCGATAATCCATTCAATTAATTTTAAACAAAGTTGACTACGCAAGAACTTGTTTGACAGCTTAAAACGATATGTCGCTACAAAGACGGCCTCATTCCAACTGCAGAAATGGAACACTTAGTAGTAGTTTGAATCATTCAAACTGTAGCCGTTTAAAAACTGAATCTACTGAATTGAAAAACAAAACCAAGGGTTAGTCGATGTAGTCGATGTAACTTTTTGTACGGTTCGTGCGAATTAAAAGTTCTGATAACGTATTCAAAATATATCATCAACTTCTTTTAAATATACATCGAGGTTTTTTGTCGAGGGTGAGCCTGTTTAAAAAGGTGATTAAGGACGTCAATTTGACTGAGCCATTACTATTTTTAGGTTCTCCGCCTTGGTATGTTCATTAACCTGCTATACTCGCTTATTTTCTTTAAGCTTTATTTTTTTCACAACGTTTTTTCAGCTAATTAGCTTCACTGCTTAACAATTAACTGCTTTTTTTAAAAGAATTTAAGTGAACTTGAGGTGGGCCAACTAAGACCAACTAAACAAAAGAAGCTCTTCCCCTCCCCTTCTAACCTTTTATAAAGGTTATCTCTTTGCCCTTACTCACCCCTTCCCCCTGTTCCTAGGCTACCTACCCATCTCTTGACATTTTGCGAAAAGTAGAAGCCTGCGAATACAGTCCTCTATCCTCGCTCCTCTCTGGTCTTGGACGTTTGCCTGGCCGCGAAGAGCGAGGAAAATGAGAGAGCTTTATTCGCAGTCTAGACCAGTAGCTGGTAAACAGTAAATACTTGCCTTATGCCGGTTTGGATGATGATCAAAAGAGGTTTTAAGGTAGTCACTTATATCCTTACAGTCGCTTTGTTTTATAGCTGGAAATTTCTTCTCAACAGTGCGCGGTCTCATTGATTGCTTCGAGGTCACATTAAACTGTTTTCCGCCAAAATCTCTGAGCGAGGGAACAATGCAAAAAAAATCAAGACGTCAGAGAGTAACAATTTCCAGCTATATTTGTTTCCTCGGTGACCACTCATTAAGTGTTTATTATTGTTGTGATAGTTGCTGATTGAGACACAAAACCTCAACTGACAACCTCGTTGACTGCTACCCGGGAAGCGGGCAGTTTACCAAAATTTAGGGTGCGGGATGTGGGATTTTTCCCTCTCTGTCGGGAACGGGAAATCATGACGACTCAAATACGCGTTCTCGGCGGCAAATGCGATTCAACAAGGCGAGCGTTCAGTTGTGTCTCCTATCAACTGAGTAAAATATATATAGTGATCTGATTAATGATTGTCTAACTGAAATATTCAAGAAGTAAACAGATGAGCTGAGCTGACAGAAGAACCACTATTTCAACCAGATGACAAGAAAGGGAGCTAAAGGACGCGTGGCGCAATAGCAGTCTAGTTAATGAAAGTTTTCTTCTATTCTGAAAAAACGCCTGATCGTAGGTTACCTTAAGTACATTAATTCATAGTTTGGTGTCGTTCTTTCTTACAGTCACAGCCAAGTCTGCTAGCGCCAGAAAAGCCTATTCCAGACGTCCTCCGCTCTATTTTGTGCCACCTTGGAACAGCTAGGCTAGCGCCAGAAGTAACGCAGCGAACGAAAACACTAAATGTTTTTTCTCCCGCTACGCATCAAACACAAAGAGCTGTAGAGTTCCAGAAGCAGTTTAAAAAACTTCAGGGAGTTAAGGTGATGTTACACGATGACGATCAGCGCAACGACGATTTTTAGCGCAATGCAGCATTACAACATTTCTGCGGCATTGTTTAGACATTCCAATGCTGTGTTGCGCGAAAAATTTTCCTTACGAATCTTCTCGTGTGGCATTACCTTTAGAGCAAATCACAAAGAGTAAAGGCCTAAGAGACTTTTCTTTATGAGAACGCAAGTTGTGGGTCAATATGAGTTTGACACACTTATCCAGGTCGTCAAGGGAAGCCGTTTATTCTAACAATTCGCAGGTATTCGATAGTAACTTCTAGTCAGCAAAGAAGGATCACTAATGGTCTCTGATAAAAGAAATCATAAAGTTCATATATTTGAACTGAGTGGAAAGTTTGTTACAAAGTTTGGAAGTAAAGGCGTAGCTAGTGTGGAGACTTTAGGAATCTAGACTACGAGTAGTCCCCCATTTTCCTCGGGGATAGTAGAGCGGGCGAAACGCGAGCGCGCGTGAAAATCACCCCACGCGAGAAAAGGCGATATGCGGCGGGGAGAGAGAAAAATGGTCGCCTTTTCTCGCGTGGGGTGATTTTCACGCTCGCTCGCGTTTCGCTTGCTCTATTATCCCTGAGGAAAAATAGGGGACTACTCGTAGTCTATTAGGAATCCAGTGTCCACAGCAAATATAGTTGTATCGTGTGATATGAATAACAGCCGAATCCAGCTGTTTGATGATCTGGATTATGAATGATACGATTTTAACTTTGTTGCAATTAACTTGAGAATTTGAACTACTATACATTGACCATGAGATCTAGGTTTTATTTTTGTTAAAGTAAACAATTTTGGGTGATAATTTGGTTAATAAATCTTACCATGATATCGAAATTGGTATAGTTCTGGCATGTGCGATGTGAAGGCCGGAAGGAAGGGCCAATGAAACACTTCCCCTCTCCTTCTCTTCTACTCCATTTTCAGGCTATTTTATCGCCCTAACCACCCTACCCATCCAAAACAAGAAAGGTGTTCATAGGCTGCCTACTCATCTCATGACATTCAAGAAAAGCGAGTAAACAGTAACCTCTTGCATCGATGGATGAGGATAGAGATCGCACGAGGTTTTTAGGTTATCACGTACATCCTGGTATAAGTTACTGACTACTCAGTTAAAGTTGTTGACCTAGTGTAATTTAAACCCAGTCCCAACTGTTCGTGGTAACTCCCTACAAAGGCGTCAAACACTTTTTAAAAAGAAGTGAACAGTCACTTACGAAAACTCGCGACATGGTTCGAAATATTGCCACTTTAATTTCTGACACGTGATTCTTCTTCTCTCTTTGTTAGAAACTTCAGGGCGTTAAGGTGATGTTCCACGACGAAGATCAATGCAACGATGATTTTTAGCGCAAAGCAGCATTACAACATTGCTAGCGCTGGGACATTGTTTCGAATGGTTACAACATTGTTTTATTAACATTCCAAAGCTGTGTTGGGCGAAAAATCGTCCTTGCGAATCGTCTCGTGTCAGACATTACCTTTAGAGGAAATCACAAAGAGTAAAGGTCTAAGGGACTTTTCTCAATGAGAACGCAAGTTGTGTGTCAATATGAGTTTGATACACTTATCCAGAGGTCATCCAGGGAAGCTGTGGATGCTAATTCGCAGGCATTCGATGGTAACTACTAGATGTCCGTAGGCGCATGAGCTGGACGACCTATCACGGTTAAATGGTGCTCTTTCGTCGTACTCAGATATAAAAAGCTATTTGTTTCATGGAATAGCCTTGGCATCGTAAGGACCAAGCTAAATCTTACATTTGTTAGCTTTTGTAGCAAAATCAGTCTTTGTTAACGTACGTCTCCAGTTTGGAAACAAAAAACAGGATGAAACGTAAAGAAGTGCAGGATGCGGGATTAACGTAAAAAAGTAGCGGGAATGATTAAGGAATCAAGATCCCCCCTTCCAGTCCCTGTAAAAATGGTCACTCTGGAAACACTAGTTGAATCACGAAACTTACTCTCGGTTTGAAACTACCAATGAAAGCTAGCATGTTGGTCCACTTTTTTTATCATATGACTCATTTAGTATCCGAGTGATTTGGACGATTGGCGTGCGCGAGATCATTCCCCACTTCCACCCTCTTGCAGTATCGGCCGGCGTTTTTGAGTGATGTTCGTCAACCGGAAGTGAGAACTTTTCACTTTCAATTGCCTTCACTTGACGTTACCAATTTTGTACTACTTATAGTGTCTTTACTCTTTTAGAGGCGATTTGCTCGAAAAATGTTGAGCAAAACCACAGCCCAAACATGGAAAAAGTCCACTTACGATTGACGTGCGTCCCTCTAAAACATCTTTACTTATTATTTTCTCTATTTTCAAACGTTACGTTCGCTCGACGAGCTCTGTAGGGAAAAAAGGATATTTCAGTGTAAAGAGGCTATATCACAGCACAGATCAGGAGTTCAAGCAAAAACTAATAAAATGATGATCTATCATTGGTATTTTACAGTATATGGCCATTATTTTAAATTATCTTTTTTCCTCGAATAATAGTCGGGGCAATTATCTCTTTTTTCGCACGAAAAGAGGGCAGTTAATCCAGGGAAGGCGATTACTTGAGGGAGGTAATTATTTCAAATATTGCTCTCTGGAAGTCGTGGCCTAAATATTTTGTTTTATGTTCCCATTAAATCAAAAAATAATCACATTAATAAACTGAACATGGGCTTTTTAAGTGTTCCAAATTTAGTTCGTTGACTAATTTCCAGAGCTTGAATCGTCACTGATCAGTTTTACTGAATCTCATTGCACTTCAACTTGACAAGGAGGGGATAAAAGGAAGAGGAAGAGAAGATGGCGATAGGGACGGGGGAACGGTGATTATTCGAGGGAGGCGATTATTAGAGGAAATAAGGTAGCTGTATAACTGATGCGCTCAATGAGTAGCTAAGAATTTCACGATCAGGCGCGAGCGGATCCACACCGGCTTCTACCGTTTTATGAAAATCGGTCAGACTTTTTCATAATCAAATAATCTTTTTATAAAAACATCTTTCCAAGTTCAAATCTAGCTAATATCCTGTCTGAATGACTCGTGCAGAAACCCAAGAAAGAGGACTTCAGAAAGTTAAAATCCAAAAGGATTTCCCTTTTCATTTGGTGCAAGCTCCGGATTCATCTGGAAGCTAGGAAAACGATCAGTATTTATGTATCCGAGCTTGCACGAGTACAGTTTATCTATTTCAGTGATGTAAAATATTATTTGACAAGTTTAATAAAATATTTTTAAAATAGTCCATGCTTTGAAAACAAGCCGATTAGAGGTAAAGGATATTTTTTACTTTTGAAAATACGTCAGAAAATCAAAACACGTCAAGACACCTTATTTGATTGGCTAATAAAATAAAGGTTAGTCCCGGCCAATAGTTTAGAAAGAAAAGGCTTTCATTATTCTTAGTTCCGCATGGCCGCCTCCTCGATCATCGACAACCACACCTACTGTATATTTCAAAACTTTCATGTTTGTTCTCGACCTTTTCCATGGATATAAAGATCCTTCTTGGCAATCTTCATGATGAAGTATCCTGTTCTGTGTGTATGTGTACATTCACTGATCCAAAGCAGCTGCCTTGTTTGCACAGTTTCTGTCTTCACTGCCTGAATGGGATTCAACGAACGAGCGGCGTCCATCGCAAAATTACATGCCCCGAGTGCAGGAGACAGTTTCACATCGCTGGAAGTGGAAATCCCAGCGAGCTTCCAACCAATTTTCGTATAAACAGTTTGCTAGATGTCTTGGCTATAAAGGAGTGCAGTACAGCAAATGTGAAATGCCGAAACTGCAACAAACGGAGCGCCCAGACCTTATATTGCTTCCAGTGTTGTTCTTTCTGGTGCGACGAATGTATTTTAGCACATAACATTATACGCATCAATAAAAAACACAGAACGCTGGCCCTGAAAGATTTTCAAGATCAGGACATCGAGGCCGTGTTAAAGAGACCGGCATTTTGTAAAGAGAAACGACATGAAAACAAAGAGTTGGAGCTCTTTTGCAAGGACTGTAAAGTCGCCATCTGTAACACTTGTGCTGTAACACTCCATGAACGTCACGGAAAGATGCTTTTGGAAGAAGCTACAGACGCGCGCAAGACTCAGATCAACTCCATGACTCAATCCTTAATAGAAAAAGCACGGGAAAACCGCAAAGAACTCGAGCAATTGAGCCAAAAGAGCACGGACATTACACTCCAAGTTGCCGACTTTAAAAGCCAAGTGCAGGCGAATGTGGATCAAGTTATTGCAATCATCGAAGCGAGGAAACAGGATGTTTTTGATGCAGTCGATAATCAAGCGAAGAAATCACTGGAATCTCTCTCACAGAAAAAAGACCAAGTTGAAAATCATGTGAAATTAATTGAATCGGCAATTGAACAAACTAAAGCTCTTGTGAAACGAAGCTTTAGTACTGAAATCCTTGGATTCAGTGAAACATTTGATACAATCCTGAAGGAACAGGGCACCCAACAAAACCGTGACACTGAATGTATTCCTCGGTTTAGTTTCACTAAAAATGAAAAACTGATTAACGTGTTGAACAGTGAAGGGATAGGTAATGTAAAAACTGTTTCTAGCGAAAAGAAAGTGCAGCAATCACGAACTAAAGGTAAAGAAAGTAGTAAAGTAAATGCTGGGAATAAAGGGGCAAATGTTCGTGACAGACCTCTTGAGACTCAGGTACAAACCAGGTGCCTCAGATCTGTGCTGTCATTTGGACAAAAAGGTAAGTCTGTTGGAATGCTTCACGGGCCCTGTGGTTTGGCAGTGAATGGTCATGATGAAATTGCTGTGACTGAGTACTCGAACCACAGGGTTTCAGTGTTTAGTAGTGACGGTACCCACTTAAGATCGTTTGGTAGGGAGGGTAACAATAATGCTGAGTTCAAGTTCCCTAGAGGGATCGCTTTTGATCGTCATGGCAATATTGTAGTGACAGACAGCGCTAACAAAAGGGTGCAAGTCTTTGATAGGAATGGTAACTTCCTTTGTAAGTTTGCATGGTGAACAAGGAAGTCTTGATCATCAGCTTCAATACCCTGAAGGTTTATCAATAAACGGTAACGGTGATATTATTGTTACTGATCCGGGTAACAAATTAATCAAGATATTCTCTTCTAGTGGGGAGTATTTACGTAAATTTGGTGGAGCAGGTTCTTTGGTCAAGCCCTATCACTGTATCCAACATGGTCAATATTTTATAGTCTCAGATTGCGGTGACCATTCCATTAAAATGTTTAACCTGGAAGGAAAGTTTATTTCTAAATTTGGAAAACAGGGAAACAAAGATGGAGAGTTCGATTGGCCCCGTTACTTGTCAGTTAACAAAGAAGGATTACTAATGGTTTGTGATGGGGGGAATCAAAGAGTTCAAGTGTTTGAACTGATCATGAGTGGAAAGTTTGTTACAAACTTTGGAAGTGAAGGTAGTGAGAGTGGAGAAGTTCATTGTCCAGTGTCTACAGCAATTCTTAGTGATGGAAGAATAGTTGTGTGTGAAATGTTTAACGACCAAATCAAGGTATTTGAGCATTAATAAAATAATCTCGCCTGCGAATACAACCGGCTCTCCTCGCTCCTCGTCGTTAGGGACCTTTCGTGGGAAACGTCTCTGCCGGGAAACTTTCTAATAGTGGCGAGGAGCGAAATAATCCTACCTTTACTGTAAGACTTGAGATTCACCAGTTCACCATCATATATTGATCATTAGATCCACAGTTCATATTTCTGGGGGAAATCAATTTTGTGCGATTATTTTGTTTAGACGTTTTGATGCTTGTCGAAATTGATGTATTATGTTCTACTTGTAAGTATATTTTGGCCATAAATGATATAGATTTCCACTGTCGTGTAAAAGTTGGGTTTAAAGCGCGTTAATGGAATACTTGGAAAGAAAAACTGCATGCATATATAGACTAGATCCACAGTTTATTTTGGTGAAAAAAAAGCAATTAATTGAGGTATTTTTCTCTTACATTGTAAGCTCACTTATTACTAATTTGCAAATACTTTACTTCATATCTAGAAATATTATACTGTTCAATATTTACCTACATTTTTGTAAGTGTGATTTTTTAGCGTGTTTTAACCTGTTCCGCGAGCACAACCTGAATGGTTCACGTTTTGTAACTAAACGTCATGTTTTTACCTACCTTTTTTCAGTAGCAACAGATGTACATATTCCTTAAAAAGCAAAATACTTTTCCCTGTCAATAACTCAAGTCGATTTTTTTTGTCTAAATAAACAACAGTGTAAATGATTTGTTCCTTTTATTCGATGGGTCTCAATAAAATAACGTGCGCGGGAAAGTCAAGAACGGCACTTAACAGTCTTGCTTTTAGCTTCCTAAACAAAGATAGCAGTGTCGTTGGAAATTACTGAAGGCCTCCTCTTCCCCCATTTTGTCTCATTACTGCGCCACCTTTGCTGCCCTAGGTACCTTACTAAAGGGGGCCACACGCGAACCCCTTGCCCCACCCCTGCGAGTTGAAATTTATATTGCGATCGGATTTAACAGAAATCCACCCCAAATTCCAGATGATAATTATTCCTTGAAGTTCCCTAGTGTGGCTTATGCGCTTGGTAACCTGATGATCCTGGACAAAAGTAGTTGGAAAGGTTGGGGATATAACAAAACAATTACATACGCACAAACACTTCAGTTTTGTACAGCATTGGGCATAGACTGCAAGCCGTCGGGTTTTTTTTTCTTCTCAAAATCGGTTTAGCGTAGTTTTAGCGTCTCTCCCCAGTCTCGCTCCAGATATTTTGTTCGACAGCTCGCTCGGCGTACTCATTTGTAGCAATAAAAGGAGGCCTCTATCTTTTTTCAGTAAGGTAGAAGGTAGCCAGCACCAGTCGATCTCTTACTATTTAGATTTAGTTTATTAAGCAAAGAAAGGATATTTACATTAACCTAGACGGGAACACACGCAAAAGTACATAGTTTAGAGTCGTGTTTTGTTTTACAGGTGCGATCTTCTTCTTCTTGTTCGGGTTGACCGTTAGCACAATGTGTGTAAACATGGTTTTCGAAAGTAGTGGTTAAAAACCTAAAACTGATTTTATCTTAATGGGACAATTTAATGTACAAAAAAGAAAAACATATATTGCTGTTGTTACTGTTACTGTTTCTGTTATTGAAGGTCGCCCGAAAGATGTCTTTCGGTGAGTCATTATTATCTTATTATATTTTTTACATGTCATAGATGATATTTGAAATAATATTTATGTCGTCGTTGTTTCAAATTTGTAATTCACTTTCCTTCATGTTGTCGTGGTTTGAAAATTTCCCGGGGAAAAAGAAAATTTGCTGTGCTTCGAATGTTGTTGTGCTTCGAATGACAAAATACTATTTCCTGTAAATAACTCAAGTGGATTTTTTGTCTAAATAAACAAGCGTGTAAATGCTTTGTTCCTTGTATTCGATGGGTCTAATTGTATGAAATAACGTGCGCGGGAAAGTCGACAACGCCACTTAACAGTCTTGCTTTTGACTTCCTGTGTCAAGCGCTTAAGAGAAAAACTAAACAAAGATAGCAGTGGCGTTGGAAATCGCAAAGCAAAGGCCGCCTCTCTTCCCACTTTGTCTCATTACAGCGCCACCCTTGCTCCCCTATGTACCTTACTATGGGGGCTACAAGCGAACCCCCTGTCCACCCCTTTGAGGCTTTCGTCGAGTTGAAATTTATACTCTGACCGATTTAGCAAGAAATTCACCCCAAACTCCAGATGATAGTTATTCCACGAAGTTCCCTAGTGTGGCTTATGCGCTTGGTAACCTGATGATCCTGGACAAAAGTAGTTGGTAAGGTTAGGGATATAACAAAACAATAGACCTTTTTACCGATACGACGGCCATATCGAATTAATTCGATTTAAGGAGTATTATAGGATGCCCAGGGGGCATGAGCACATTTCGTTTGTATTTTCGTGCGCTTTTCGGGACATTTTTTCTTAAAGTTTTCTTAGCATAAGATTGTAATGGGAAAAAAGATCCTTGTGCCGTATTTCGGTGTAATAATGATCGCCTTTTTCTAGTTTAGTATTAGAAATATGGTCTTTTATTGTATATTTCTCGGGGAAATAATGTGATAATGATGACATGAGACCTTTTTTTGGACTGCTCGCGCGGCGTACTTGAATACGCAAAAATAACGTGACCGTTTTGCAGTCTACATTGGGGAAGGGGCAGAGGAAATAAGGGGAAAAGAGGTAAAAAATAGTGTCCTCCCTACACTCTTTTGACGATTGTCCTACTGAGGGTTTGAGTTGCACCCAACATTCCTTTTTAAGCTCGCTATCAAATAAATGCCGTTCACATGCCTTGTTACTGAAGTGGTAAGGGGTTCTTTGTTTATTATGATTGAAAATTTGTAAGACAAGCAATGAAGCAAATGAACCAATTAGAGTCAGGGAATTAACCGAAACTATTTCGTGATTGCAGGTTTTATTGTAATAATTGTTCTAATTGAAGCTCCTGTTTCTGACTCTGTTTTGACCCCTGTTTTCACTCGTCCCCAGTCGTCCTTGCATAACACGCGGCGGGAGCAGGGGGTGATCACACCCCTTGCGCCACTAAGGAGAGACAGAGACGACCGGGGACGGGGCAGCATCCGCTTAATTTTTAAACAACAACAACAACAACAACAACAACAGCGACAACAGTTTATCCAATTTGAAAATAATTTATGACCGTGTTACTAACAATTAGCGAAGCTATTCCAGGTGGGTACCACTGATAAAACAATAGTCTCCTTGAGTAAATACAAAGTTCTAATTCAATTCAATTCAATTTAATTATTCACACTTTATGGTCCTGTTGTATGCAGTTCGCTGCATTGTGGGACTCGTTACCTTATAGCAGTCCTAGCACACCTGATGGCTCAGGTGCCCCGTTGGGCGGAGAGCGTTTCCGGGGGGCCAGGTTCGATTCCTGGGCGATTTTGGCGTACTGGTGTACCCTCCTTCAGACGTTCCTCGGCATAGCCATTGTACTCTGGCTTTGTTAAGTATCGGTGATGTCGCTCGGCCATTGCACTTCTTGACCATTGCACTACCGGCTCCTGGCCGTGCGCGCCTGAAAAAAACAAAACAAAACAAAAAAACGCTTTATAAAATATTAACATTGTGTATAGTAAGGTAAGAATACACTAATAAAGTAGAAGAAGAAAGAAAAAAGAAAGAAAATTAATGGCTCGGGTAGAAGTGTACGGTGGTCAGAGGAGCTTAGCTTTTGAGCTAAACACCGGTATATTATGATTGGAAATACAAAAAAAAAAAAGGAAAGTGCGTAAAGCAAATTGTAGCGGCGTTGAGGGTCCTTCCTGTTCAAAGTTGACCGACCAGGCCTTTCTCTTCCTCTAAAAGAGTTTCTTCTTGATCTCACCGGACACGTGTACACCACTTCACAGCGGTCAAACGAGTGAAATTCGCAAAAGTTAAACAAAATACTTCAAAGTTAAGGTTGCTACTTTCACTATCGAAAGTTTAGGGTATTACCAACATCCTGTTAGTTTACTAAACTTTTTAAAAGTTTACTAAAAAAGTTCTAAGTGATTGAAAACCGATGCTGACGTTATTATCGGCGCCATTTTCAAACATGATTCTCTTTTAGCGCGAAGCGTTTTCAGCGAAAAAAGCTCAAAATTTTGCGAAAAATGGAAAGATAGTTATGTTGACTAACTGATTTATACATCTTTACCCATTTTTCTCTAAGTGGTAAATGAAATCCCAGCAAAAAAAAACAAAAATAACGATTTAGACGTTTGACCGCGGTGTGGTACACCACTGACATCTTAACACTAAAACGCCCCTAGCTGACAGGAGCGAGGAGAGAAGGCTGTGTTCGCGAGTTAGAGAAACCAGACGAAGTGCTATAAGTCTAGTTCAGATGACAAAAAATAGTCTTCGTTTCCTTGGTCAATACAGTGTCAGTCGGCGTGAAATCACACCCAGTCTATCTGGCGATAATCCATTGAATAATTATACATGCACAAAGTTGACT